AGCATATATAATATTTATAATATTGTATGTTAATATATTTATACGCTTATATAACATATATATAAATCACCTATAATGTGTAGTATATAAACAGTAATAAAATACCTTCACTCAAACAAAAAGCTAAGCAGAAGGCATCATGAGAGAATGCTAACGAATATGCAAGACAACTTCCAAGAACTTTTAAATAGAGAGCAAGTGGCCCAAACTCATTTCTAATCCTAGAAAATCCATGGCACACAACCCAACATGAACAGTGTTAGATATGAAAGTTTTAGGACAATTCCATGTGTTAATATAGACACACAATCTTGAGCATATTAGCTAGAAGAATCCAACATCGATTGGTACAATTCCCCATGACCTCCAGGGAAGAACGGGCTGAAAGCATGGCCTTTGTGTGGTCTCTGGAGGTGAGCTTACAGGGATTGTGAAGGCGGCTGCAGATAGCAAGAGGTAATGAGTCGTGTCCAATGTCCCAGTAAGAGTCTCAGGCTCTCAGTGTCGATTCCTTAAACACTTTGGGAAAGAAAGATGGCGATATTGAACACAATGACAAAAGACACAGTGCTCTTCTAGCCCGTGGTGGGCAGCATACAACGTGGTCATTCTTAGATCAAACAGACCTCTTACTTGGGTTGAGCCGCATCTCCCAAGGGCCACCAGGGGAGCTGCTGTCTGCTGCTTCCTGCATTGTCATGGGCTCCTGGATCCTTGGATTTTTCTGTAATACCCGGTTTGCCGGTTCTACTATTCACTTCTGGGTAAGGGGGAATGGGGGGATTGTTTAAGGAGTACACAGTTCCTGTTTGGAATTATGAAAAGTGTCTGAAAATGGATAGTGGGGGTTGTGCACAGCATTATGAGTGTGCATAGTGCTGCTGAATTGTACAGTTAAAGTGATTAAAGTTTTGAATTTTGCATTTATGCATATTTTGCCGTAATTAGAAAATTACTAGTTCAAAGTCCAAACTATATGTAAAAGTTATACTCACAAAAATCTCCACAGCTGAATACAACCCTATGCCATCATGAGCTTCTTTTTAATGAAGATGTGAGAGACTATTCTGTCCTCCACTACCCCTAAGATCCATCTGTTGCCTGTCCCTGTCTGTGACCCACACCTGCTCGTGTTGAGCTTCCACTGTTGCTTGTGCTACTGACATCAGGAAGCCTGGAGACAGGCTTTATGAGGCCAGTGAAATGTTGTGGTTGGCCTCCATGGGAGCCGACAACACAGCTCTAAGAAGATAAGGTGAATGGGCTCGGTCTTCTCAGGAATGGGGGTTGAGGAAGCACACCAGATGTGCCACCTGGACCAGCCGAGCTCTTCACTAAATGGGAGGTGACTCTAGAATGGGTAGTGCAGGAGAAGCCCAATTTGCTTTGTCTGTCTCCTTCAGATTAACATCAGCAGCAAGGCCTGTTGTTCACACCATTGAACAATGTCTTGCAAGTTTCCTACAGTGAAAGTGATTAAAAAGCATCCAGGAGGAGCTGTTCTCGGGACTCATGCTATGAAGCCAGGGGACCTGAGCAATGCAAGGGCTGCGCTGTCATCATATAGTGGTGGCCTCCTAGTGGCTGTGTCATTCACCAACATGTCTCAACTGAGCCCCTTTATGGGTCTCGTCCTTGGGTAAGGGATCACTCAAGGTCAATAACTCTTCCAAAGGCAGCCTGCATGCAGTGACTGACTGATGCATGGTACCATGAGTTAGTCCTCGGATTTCCCCCCTCAGGACTCTAAAAAGCCATCCCAGCTCCAGACTCACCACAGAAGGGGCTGAGCTTGTTGCAACTGTATCACAGTGCAAGTCCTTCCTCTGACCCATGATGCATCCCTCACTCCTGACCAGCTGGGGACCCTGAGAGCTCTCCCCATCATCTCTGTGGACACAATCTCCATTTCAGTAACTGCTGCTGGGGAAATGATGGGGACAAGGAACATATGACACTTACAGGAATGTAGCCTGGAGATGGCTCCTCCATGACCCATGAAGCTCTGGTGAGATTGTTACAAGAGTCCTTAGGGGCAAGGAGAGGGGTGTTCACCATCCCTGTAGCTGTGGGGAGTAAACACTCAGTTTGGATATGTCTCTCCTTATTTCAGGGAAGTCACAATATACCTGTGACACATATCAGCCTGTAGTAAAGGATTGGAATAACGAGGAAATGTGAGACAGAGGCTTCTTTATGCATATTTGTTTCTACTGCAAATTGCAAATGATTTAAGGAAGTATCTATTTTTTAACTTAAAAAAGAAGTCTTCTCGATAATAAAGAATCTAATTAAAAATGCAAACGATCTGAACAGTCAAAGATGATACACAGATGGCAAACACACTTGAGAAAAGATGTTCAACATCATATGTCAGTGGGGAATTGTAAAATAATACAGCAATGCGATAGTGTTACATTCCCATGAGAATGGCCTAAATCCAAAACACAGATGACATCAAAGGCTGCCCAGGACTTGGAGCAACAGGAACTCTCTTTATTGCTGGGCAGAACGCAGCTTGGTACAGTCACTTTGGAAAAGGGCTTGGCCATTTCTTTAAAAGTAAACGTTGTCTCGCCTGAACAATCCATGGATCATACCCGTTGGTATTTACCTAAAGGAGCTGAAAACAACGTGAACAAAAAAACCTGCACAGGGATGTTGATGGTGGCTTTATTCATAATTGTCCAAACCTGGAAGCAGCCAACTGAGATGACTTTCCAGAGGTGATGGATGAATAAACTGGGGTGTACCCAAACAGTGGAATATTGATCAGCGATAAGAAGATCTGAGCCATCAAGCCATGGAAAGACATGGAGGACATTTAGATGCATATTGTTCAGTGAAAGAAGCCAACCTGAAATGGCTGCACTCCATATGACTCCAAGGATATAACATTCTCAAAAAACAACAACAACAACAAAACAAAACAATCTAGGGGCGCCTGGGGCTCAGTTGGTTGAGTGTCCAACTCAATTTCACCTCACGTCATGATTTCAGGGTCATGGGATCGGGTCCCATGTTGGGCAGGTGCAGTGTGGCATTGTCCTTTGGCTCCTGCACTGGGGATGCCGCTGACACCCTTCCTCACCCCAATAGTGGAGACAGTGGGAGACAGACCTCAGTGAGGAGCCACAGCAGGGGATTCAGAGCCAAGTGAGGCCATGGAGCTGCAGCCTAAGGAAGGCTGAGTGTGGTCTGGGTGTGGTCTGTCCTCCATGGGGAGTGGGCGGCCCCAGAGCACTGGAGGCGGGGGGAGCTCTGCTCTGGGCTCCTGTCCCCTCATCTCCATCAGGGGGACCGGGGCTGGGGCAGCAGGGGCACTGTGAGCCTGTCCTCGGGGTCCATGGGGTGATGGCAGCTGGGAAAGCAGCCCCTGCCTGAGTCTGGGCCCAGTGTCTAGCTGACTTCATTTCCAAGACTTCAGTGCTCAGGTGGGTCCTCCTAGCCCACTCACCATGACAGATACCAAGTAGAGGAAATGGAGTTGAGGAGCAGGGACCAGAATGCAGTGCTCCTTCCTCCAGAAGCTGAGGGGGATGAGAGAGAGCCTGCAGCTGTGGCTCTCTGTGGCTGGAGGTCCTGGAGATGTGTGGGGTAGGAGGGCGCAAAAAGTTTGGGTTTTTCTCCATCCCCACTTCTTTCTGATCCCCAGTGACCCAGGATCTTCAGCCTGACCTTGGATGCTCCACACTTATGCATCCTCGTGACTCCTCCTGAGCTACACATGGGGTGTGAAGGTCTGCAAACATCACCATCAAACAAAACTTCATTGTCTTCAGTCTCCCTTGAACATTTACATGGGAAAGACAGAGAGGGGCTGGTATCCCCTAAACTGACAGCCAGCTCACACCATTCGGTATCCTGAGCAGAAGGTAGGACATCACTAACACACACGGTGCAGGAATGGTGAAGGTTCTGCTATGGGAGCCAGCCTGGACTGAGCGACTCTGCTTGCAGGACTCCTCTCACCTGTTCTGGACATGCAGATGGTGTGTTTCTATCCCAGCCTCCTGTCCCTCCCTCATGTCCACACCCACACCAGGGACTGCTCCCCACACCTGGACACCAGCTGCAGGCCGTGGTCCCTGCTTGCTGCCACTCAAGGTCAGGGCCCACCATTTCTGAGCTTGGAATTCAGGGTTTCTACTTATTTCTCAGATCTTCAACTCTTTTATGAACAGAGAAGCATCTCCTTATCTCATGCTCCACTGCAGTGAACAGCAGCGCCGTCGGACGGGGCAGTCAGAGCAGAAACCCCCAGTTCCCACTCTACCCTTCCTCCTTCTCTCCCCGCGTTCCTTCTGCTCCACAGCTCGTGTGTCTCCTGTGAGCACAGCCGCCTGCATCCCTGCCTCCTGTTTCCCTGCCTCAGTTGCTCTTCCCCAACCACGTAGGTTCTTCAGTCCTACCCTGCTGTGTCCACCCTCTATTCCCCTGTGCACAATGTCACCAGATCATTTTGTCACTCTGAAATTGCGGTGTCCCTTCATGGTTTGAGCATCTTCACACCCTGTTTTGATTTTCTCTTCTATGAGCTCGTATGGGGAACATGGTCACCCCTCCCCTGAGACATGCTTGAAAGTCCCCTCAGAAGAGGAGCTGCCCAAATGTCCCAAGGGGTGGGATAACCTCACTCTTTTATATGATTTATGTTTTGTAGACTTCTCATTTCCACAGGAGTGTTTATTTCTTCATGACCTTCCTCTCTATGTTATAAGCATCTCAAATCACAGACATGTATCCATGTTCTCTAAATCAGACCCAGCATGGGGCTTCCCACAGCTGCTCCCTCCACCCCCTCCTGGGTCCCATTCAGAGCAGGCCTTGCCCTCAGTCCCTTCTCAGGATCCTGATTCACTGATCAGGTGGTCTGAGCGAGTCTGAAAGGGGGTGCAAATTTGCATAAAGAGCACCCTCATTTGCGTGGGGACAGTAGGGAGGATAAGACAAGCCTGGGACAGCCCAGTTCCACTGTGGGGACCAAGGGCTGTGTCATCATGGCCTGGACTCCTCTCCTCTTCCTGTTCCTCTCTCTCTGCTCAGGTAGGGGCATCATCCAACTTCTGGGGGAACCTCCCAGCTTTTATCAGTGCCTAAGCCTGAGAAACCCCCAGCATAAATGTCCCATCACCCACGAGTGTGTGTTTGCAGGTTCCCTGTCCCAGCCTGTGCTGACCCAGCCGCCCTCCCTCTCTGCATCTCCAGGAACGACGGCCAGACTCACCTGCACCTGAGCAGGGACATCAGTGTTGGCGGCTCCAACATCTACTGGATCCAGCAGCAGCCAGGGAGCCCTCCCCGGGGTCTGCTGTACTACTCCTCAGACTCCAGTAAGCACCAGGGCCCCGGGGTCCCCGGCCGCTTCTTAGGCTCCAAAGATGCCTTGGCCAATGCAGGGCTTCTGCGCATCTTGGGGCTGCAGGCTGAGGGCGAGGCGGACTATCACTGTCTTGTTGGAGACTGTGGTGCTTCTCACAGTGACACAGGCCGAAGGGGAAGTAGACAAAATCCCTGACCTGCTCTGAGTTATGGCTGCTGTGAGTGGGACCCAGGAGGGGGTGGAGGGAGCAGCTGTGGGGACACCCACAGGACCTTGTCCAGGAGCCTCTGCCAGGAGCTAGAACCCTTCTCTGCCAAGTTCCCATCAACAAAACTCTAGTCTTAGATAAAAATGAAGCAAACAAAGCAAATAAGAAACAAACAAAATCACAGCAAAACTGAACTTATGCCCAGCGAAAGAGACGAACAATGGCTGCTAGCTTTCTTGGTCAGAGCGAGGGACCATCCCAGCAGGTGGACAGTCCGTAGACATGGCTTCTGCTCCCGAAGCCCCAGAGAGACCCTCCGTCCAGGTCCCATCTGAGAGGCTGGCCGAGGCATACTGTGCTCCTGAAATGAGTCAGGAAGATGGCAAGTGCAGACCTGGGGGAGGTCAGGGCTCAGAGCCAGCCTGGCTCACTGCTGTGCTGTCTGTGTCTTCCACTGTCATGTCAAGGAGACGGGGGTTAGGCATGGGGGACATTTGCTACCGGAGGCCAGCAAACCTATTTTAGGGGCTGGGGAAGGTGAAGGGGAGAGAATCCAGCATTCCTAGGAAACCACTGAGTCCCATATGTGACTTCCCCACAGGTGATACCGCTTGCCCCTCATGAGCTCCCATGGCTGGGTTTCCAGAGCCCATGGGAAGTGACGTGTGTCCTCCTCTCCTTTTCTGCCCTGTAGGAGCTTTTACGCACGCAGGTGTCAGCCAGGGTTGTGAAGTATCAAAAAACCCCTAATATGTGCAACAACACTCCTCTGAAGCTCTCAATAGGGTCCCAGTGATGAGTCACTTTGGTCACACGGAGTACAGCAGACACTTTGGAGGTTATCATGATGCCTGGTAGCAAGGTGTCCCAGGCAAAGCCCCTGAGGCTGTGACCTAGGACACCAGTGATGGGTCTTCAGGAATCCCAGGCCAACATTCCTGCTCCTGGTTTATCATCATGACCTCCTTGTTCACCCCTGGCCTGCAGCCTGAGGGTGAGACTGACTCCCAGCATCACAGAGCTGAGCACAGCCCCTGTGCCACCAAGAGCTACCCTTCCCCAGGGAAGTAGGAAAAACATCTGCCCCCCATTAGATGCTCTGATCCATCTTCCCCCCATCCTTGCCTGTGACCAACAGCAGCTCTGCTTCTCTGGTGTAGCTTGTGCTTCAGAAACCAGAAAACTCCACATAATTGACTCTGTCTGTCTTACGGGCTCCATGAAAATAACTTACTTTCAGGGCTCCTGGATGGCTCAGCCAGTTAAGCATCTGCCTTAGGATTAGGTCATGATCCCGGAGCCCTGGGATCAAGCCCAGCATCAGGCTCTCTGCTCAGTGGGGAGTTTGCCTCTCCCTCTCCCTCTGCACCCTCCATCATGCTCTCTCTCTTTCTCTCTCTTAAATAAAGAAAATCTTTATTTAAAAAAGAAAATAATCTCTATTACTGTGTCCCAGTCCAAACAAACTCACTTTGTCTCAAGAAGCAAAAGTATCCCCCACACTTGTTGGGTGGGGATGGTAAGGAAAGCAATAACATGGGACTGTGACCTGAGAGACCCAAGTCCCCTCTGCCAAGCTCCCTACATGTCCCATGGTCCTGTCCCAGGATTAGCTGATCATTTTCTGACTGTAAAACTGTCTGGTCTGTGTTTCTCTGTCTCTTCCAATGGTGCCCTGGGGATCATGGGAATGCCCTGGGGCAGGAGATGACCCCTCCCCTTGGAGGACAGGGCCCTCAGACATGCTCACTTCTCCCTGTTTAATCCAGAGTTCACATACTTTCTCTCTCAGGTTCTTTAGTTGGAATGATGTTAAATAAATCTGTTATTGCAGTCTAGATCCTGTGGACCTAAATCCCATTATCAGATAAACTTTTATTATAGGAAAATTTCTAGATAGTCTTATTTTTCTAAGTGATGGTCCATGGAGCTCTCAACAAACTTGATCAGACCCTGTGCTGGTGAGTAACAGGCCACGAGGGTCCTGCAGTTCAGAAGTGGAAGGAGGACCTCTAATTCAGAGGAGGTTCCACTAAAGCAATGATTTTTTAATACCAATTGTCTTACTAAGAACAATTACAAAACTCCACTAAAAATATGTTAAGTATATCAGAGAAGCAAAAGAAAATAAGGAATTTCCAGGTTTACAGGGCAAATGGAAACCAAGAGAGGTATGAATGAGCGGAAGACACTTTTCCCAACAATGTTATAGTCTCATGACCAATACAGACATCAAAGGTCAAGTCCTGTACAATGTGGACTGGGGTAACCTAACAGGACACGCTTAGACCAGCAAGAACAGCAGCACAGGGGCGCCTGGGTGGCTCAGTCATTAAGCGTCTGCCTTCGGCTCAGGTCATGGTCCCAGGTCCTGGGATTGAGCCCCGCATCGGGCTCCCTGCTCAGCAGGAAGCCCGCTTCTCCCTCTCCC